GAACCCACCAATCTGCACCAAACTCAAACGGATACTGAAGCGGAGGAGGTGCCAAAGTAGAGTCAACGATGAGTTTTCCGCCGACTTTGTGGATCTATCAAACATAAAGGCTTCGTTAGGCATCGCAGGCCTGAGGAGCTCCATGCTCGTTGCATACCTTTTCCGCATAGTACGCAATATCCCTACCCAAAGCACGTCATTCACATTGGCTCAAAGGACAAAGACAGTCACTCACCTGCATTCACCGGTAGGATTCACAGGCGTCTCCAGCCAAACCACATCCCCAGGTTCATACTCCGCATCAAGGTCAATCACTTTAACTTCCTCGTCCTTGGCCTTTGAATACGCTTGTACAGTCTGATAGATCCCCCAGTATCCTCCCGTGATGGCCAAGCGCTTGGGTTTGTATTGGACCATGACAGCGTAAGACGCAGCAAGACCAGACGCGAATGTCATTGCGTAGCCGTCCTGGAAAAGGATCCCAGTTAGCTGATGGTTTACTGGAAAGGAAAAGAAGGAAGGAGCGAAGAAACTAACATTAATCTTGCTAAGAACATGCTCGGCCCTCGTTGAGATGTCCTGAGTATACCTCGAATATACGTGTCGGGATGGGTTGCGTGGGTCATCGTCTTGATATCCTGGAGCGTCTGGGTCGGGGTTTACGCGGAATGCTGTGTTTCGGAGGTCAGTCATTCAGAGAGACAACAGTGGAAACAGGCACGTACTGGTCGACACGGAAATAGGCGGAGTCACATCCGGCCTATCATCGCGATTGAGAAGCGCATCGCCGTGGATGAGATCAGTTGCTCGAAGTTTAGGTGCCATGTCTGTTGACCGCTAAACTTTGGGCTTTGGGCTTTATACCCAGGAGTTGAATGTGTGATGTGTAATATGTATTGCCTGGACTTGCTGCGCTTCAGCTTTCCTTGATAGATGAATTTTGGGATCATGATGGTTCTATGCATACCCGCAGTAGATAGTAGTTCTGAGCGGCTTATTTGACCCTGCAGCGGAGGTATTCTCGGGGCGTTCCTGTTTCAGTTCTGCGTTCGTGAGTATGCAGAAAATGACGAAGCCAGAAGTCCGAACGTACAACAGTCGCGAATTTTGAACCATCAGAGAAATCTGAAAACTGGCGGTCCTTCGAACGCGAATTCTCGAATGCTCAACTTGAGCTGTTGCACTCCTACGACTCGGAACGACGTTCAACTATTGGACTGCGCGTGTCTGCCTTGGAAATTTAACCGAGTGTTCAGCATGACCTGGGCAAAGGGCAAAAGTGTCGATGGCTAACCTGATATATCTCGTTAGACAATGTGTATTCCGCAGCAGAAATACGTGATTTCAGTCCGGGTTTGAGCCAGAGCGAGCATTCTGGAAGGCGAAATTCAGAAAGGACCAGGCTGAGGTAGCGGAGGAGGAGGAGACGGGTGCCGCTCCGAAGAAGGATTCAAAAATTTACATCACGCGTAATCCAGCACGTGTCTTATCCCACGCCTTGCGCGATGACAAAAGCCTATAGCTAGTTTCTTGCCTTTATCAATGTCATTTTCCTCTACAGTACTCAATGCTAGGAATTTGAGCCATTTTCATTCGTTTCAATATCTTCGAACATCCCCGATTGTCATCTGTCTTTTCTTACACATCCTTTCGCACCATAAATGATTGAAGAATTGAAGCAGCAATCTTGTTTCGACGATGGCCCCATGGGGAGATACTTGTCCTTGAGGTACGTCGGAGGCCTGATCAAACCAGAGCTCATTCACATTCAACACAAGTGCCACCGTGTTTGAACCGAATACGACTCGATGATCCCGTCGCGATGGTGTCGCAGAAGATGAGTAACGAGTTATGTTCTTCTCCTGTTTGGTTGCTGTAGAATCAGATACTGATATTCTAAATAGTAGCATATGTATTTTCACCCAATCGCTCGCTGGATACGTTCTTGAATGGATACGGCTCGAAAAACGATAGTAAGCCAGTGGCAGAATCAAACGGTCAGGTGTATACTCATGGGATTCGAAACCTAAACTTGAACTTCTCAGGCAGGCTATTCATCAGGTTCTTGTTGATGTTCAACGAATGATTTAACAGCCTCGAATCTTAATATTGCAACCGACATGCGGTCAAATGTATCTCGCCCTTTTAAGCCCAATACCACTCTGCCACGGTGGGGCTCCCCATGCTCTTTCTTTTCCTCTGCTCTCTTTGCATCGCTCTCCTGGTTAATGCACAGTCTCTTGTACCATCTCCGGGATGGAAGGTATATCGACTAAAAGATCCGCCATAAGAGCTCTCTAACAAGATCTGTTTAAGGAAACGAATGTCACACTTTCCCGACAAGAAAGGATCGAAATCGCAGCAAACGCTTTGGATATCGCTGTCTCGAAGCTTGACTCAGAACTGAATCTGCCAGGTAACTACTTCAAGGCTTCCCGATGTGATTGACTACTGATGCACGAAACCATAGACGGACAAGGTCGAGGCATATGGAACGCTGCAACACTTCATCTACAGCTCTCGACGTTTGACAGAATATCGAATCAAACAAGATATCAGGAGACAGTGACCAAGTATTTTGATCGACGGGGGTTGCAGGGCATCGGTGGCCTTTCGAATTTACCGTACGAAGCCTTGTTTTCTGGTTTCCTGAATAGCTACTCACAACGTATCTCTGGCAGGAATTTTACAAACGTCTGTTTCTCGGCTCTCCGATCCTTAATCCACGATTGACACTGCTGAGAATCCAGGTCGATTATTTTCTGTAGGTCGTAAATTTCGGACGAATACTTACCAAGATTGACGGATCATCTCTAGCTTGTATGCATCGGCTGCGTACCAAACGTTTTTGGCTTATAACAACGGAACTTTTCTGAGCCTTTCTGACTCTGCTTGGGAATATGCTCGAAATCAGACCATCTCGGAAGCGACATTGGGTCGCTGGCAGAAGAGCTTCATGTGCGCTGAAGGTGAACTGCATCATTCATTTCGTCATACTGGGGCACTATCACCTTCGGAGGATTCCCGGAGATCTTACGGATCCGAACGTCGCGATTTTGGGTGTTGGCAGTCGTGCTCCAAACACACCAAACACCCCGGCGTGTATCATCATTATACAGACACTAAAAATGACCCTTATAAGATGAATGGTTCATTTGGACTGGAGGAGTGTTGGACGGATACGGCGTGCGTTGCCCTATACTTAATGTGATCCGATGCTTAGACTAACAAAACTACGAAAGGCCCATCAACATGATACGTTATGGTTCATGCCTTACGCTAACGCGTATAGTAACCCTTCATCTACTCTTCTGCGCTGTAGCTGATCTTCTTTATAGACTGTACCTCAAGTACGTCTGAAGTCACAGCGATTGTCAATCTCCTACTAAGTTACAGTACATGATGTTCAGAGTCTCTGCATCTCTCGCAGACTCAATCAAGGATACGACACATGTACAAGCTGCTGAAGAGTCGTTCAACTTTATTAAAGACGGACTATTATGGGAGAATCTCATGGTTCCTGTTAACTGGTCCAAACCTTGCGATGGCGCTGAAGTAGGTTTCCAAGATCCCAAGACTACTGGTATCGTTATAGAGGCTGTTTCCGTCCTAGCCAAAACGGCAGAAAACGCGACTATCGAGGAACAGCTGTAATGACCCTCTGTGCTTCTTACCGCTCAGCCATTGGCTAACGGCGTATTCCAGGATCAGGAATCTTACTTTAGCATCCATTACCGGGACAAACGACCAACTCGAGGGACCTTGGGTGAGCGACTCCGGTGTAATAGGTGCCGCTATTTCTGTGTTTAGTTGCTCCACAAGAACTCACACAGATACAGACGACGAAACACCCGGTGAATTCGTATATAGCCTATTGTCGGCTTATCAGCACCTCAGGCTCTCAACGCTGCGCGACGTACACACCTACCTGGAAAAGTTTATATCCGTCCAGGTACACACCTCAATCTCCGTTTACTGCACAGACACTTATCGTTTTATTTTATAGTACAACGCGATACTCACCCAAGCGAGGCTACCAAACAGCAACATGTACGGAAAATGGACAGGTCCTCCAGCAACATCTTTTGAATTGCAACATCAACTCTCAGCTTGCTACGGGTTGATAGCAGCCATTGGTCTTCCAGAAATCCCTGGGCTGGATACTACGACAACCTCATCTTTGGTCTCTGAGCCAACCAACACCGATGCCTCAGACACACCTCATGGAGTGAATACAGGCGGTATTGTAGGCGGTGTCATAGGTGCTCTGGGTGCTCTTGTATTATTGGCCGTTGGGTTAATTTGTTGGCGACGTCGTCGAAGAACCGTGGTACCGCAGGAGGCGTCTACTGCCCCGTTTATGCTAGATGCCGCGGATGTGGAACCAAAGTCAGGGGGAAGCAAAGGTCGCGCGGTGGCGAGTTCTTTGCATAATCCGAGAGTGGCAAGCTTGCAGGAACCATCGTATCGAGAAGAACATGAACCTGAACCTGAATTGTTGGGTGTTCAACATGCTGTTGGTAGGTTTATTGTGATATTTTTTGGTAAAGCGTAGAATAACGCTAGTTGTTCCAAAGATGATATTGGTGAAGAAGAGAGACATCAAGATAGTGGTTGGAGGCCTGGACGTCGTGGTTTGCCACCTACATACGAAGATGCTTTGTAGTAGTATGTGCAGAAGGATTCATATGTTGAAAGGTACTGCACCGGCACTTGCTAATCCGAGTCCTGGGAATCCAGACTAGAAAGCGCGCACCTTGCGATCCATGCAACTCCCCAAGTTTATGTACGGATTCGTGCTTCAAAGCAAGAATTGAACGGGGCGAAGCTTAAGAAAACCGGCGTCACTTCGCGTAATCTGTGGTATGTAATTGAACGACTCCTCGTGCCCGTATATCTGGAGCATTCAGAGGTTCCTCGGAGACCACAGAGATCGTTATCACTGTATTGGGCCATGGACACAATCAAAAAGCTACGGGAAGATTACCATAGAGGCTAAGTGCATTAAGAGGGAATCGAACCCCCGGCGGGTCGAAGCTATCAACGATTCACGGAGAATGGCAACGACCCAGGTTACCACTACCCCATTAATGCGACACTGTCTTCCCTTAATTCATGTCCCTGATCAAGCGTATGCTACCCAGAGAACAAACGTTCGGCAGTGCCAGCGAGTTCTTTGCATAATCCAAGAGCAAGCTTGCAGGAAACATCGTATCGGGGAGAACATGAACCTGAACCTGAACCTGAGTTGTTGGATGTTGGTAGGTTTATCGTGTTATCTTCAAGTTTTTGGTAAAGTGTAGAATGATAACGCTTGTTTTTTCGTAGATGATATCAGCCCGGGCGAAGAAGAGAGACATCAAGATAGCGGTTGAAGACCTGGGCATCGTGGTTTGCCACCTACATACGAAGATGCTTTTTAGTAGTAGTATGTGCGGAATGATTCATACCGTGACGATGCCCAAGTTTAACTTTGTCATGAAATTCACTGGAATTCTTGAATAGCGTTCTACATACCAAAGGATATTTGGCTACGAGCTTCGCGGGGATCAGCATTAGTTATGACACGGTGCTAACTCTCAAGACTTCAAACTAGAACCGCGCAGCTTGTGACTCTAAAGTTGAATGACAAGACAAGATTATGCTTCAAAGCAAGAATTGAAAAGGGTTAAGAAAACTGGCGTCAATTGTGATCATGAGCGCTTAATCTGTGGTATGAATGAATGACTTCAGACTTGACTTCAGAGGTTCCTCTAATATCCGCTAGCACTGACTAGTTGACTTTGTGTTGGGCCACAAAAAGACCTCTGCTACACTTAGTGCATTAAGAGGGAATCGAACCCCCGGCGGGTCGAAGCTGACAACCGTGCACTTCAATGGCAACGACCCAGGTTACCACTACCCCATTAATGCGACACTGACTTCCCTTAATTTATGCCTCTGATCAGACCTACACATACACTGTCCAGCGATAGTCAGAGAAGAAACATTTATACGATCTGAGATATCGACTACATGTATGTATCGTGTAAAGTAGATAGAATATAATAGAATACGACGTCCACCACCATCACGACGAATAAAAAGGAGTGTACCCAAAAAACGAACAATGAATAAGGTTTTTAAACTTTAACGAAAAAAGGAACCACTCAATCCACCTTTCTAGCCCACTTCCTTCCTCCTTGAGGCGGCGGCGTAGCCACACGGTGATGTATCGCCGGTTGAGCGTATGGTGTCTGCGTTTGCGTCTGGGTCTGTGTTGCGTATGGTTGGTCTTGCGTGTACGGTTTCTCTCTCTCCTGTAACTCGATAACCTCTTTCTTCTCCACAGCAACTCCCTGACCCCAGTACACCGCCACCTGTACCCCCAGAACGACGTTCAGAACTAAGGCCAAAGCAAATCCAGCCGCTAAGACTCCTCCGTCGTCGACTTCCCCAAGGGAGGTAAACAACCTTGCTGCACAGCCCAGAATCTGAGAAAACACCGCAAAAGCGCTAAGCTGACCCGTCGAACGTGCGCGGTAGTTCTGGTGGATCTGCGGAAGCTTGCTCGACAACGATAGCGGTAGAGTGAGGAGTTGTAGAGGTGATAACGTGCTTAAAGGCACAGTGGCTAATGCGATACCCGTTACGGCCATACCGAGAGCTGTGGTGATGACTTGCGTGGATTTGGAGGAGGTGGATTTTTGGCGTAGGGGGTGAGAAGGGGTGTATACGATGATGAGAAGGGTGATGATGACGTTTTGGATGGTGAGGAAGAGGTTTTCGCCGTATGTGGAGAAGGGGAATTGGTTTCGGTAGGAGTAGGAGAGGGTTATGGCGTATGCGAGGGTTTCGAGGATGTAGGAAGGTAGGGAGAGGCCTGAGGCGGAGTGGGAGTTGAGGACTGTGGAAAGTGTGTCAGTCGTTGGCGGTGAGACTAGGAATTGGGACACGCACTCAATAGTAGCTGAGGGACTTTCATGATAGAGCCTCCGACTACGATGCCTATTCCTAGGCCTTTTGAGATGGAATATTTGATACATTCAATGTCGGAAAGGTTGAGGTTTTCGATGAGCGATGTGTAGCATTTCTGGCGAGCGTATTAGCAAATATGAAAAGAAAAGAAAAAGAAAGACAACACACCTCGCCAACAATGGATACACCTAAATCTCTAATAAACCATGGCAAATTTCTCGTTATACTCGTCATCTTGGTGGTAGCGGTTATAGGAAAAGAAAACGCAGACGACCGTCGATGTTCAACGTGTCGCGGCGCTCACGTGTTCTGGCCGATGGAAATGGGTTGAGATTCATTGTGGGCCTCGTGGTTGCAAGGCATTAATGGGGTAGTGGTAACCTGGGTCGTTGCCATATAGTGAGATTGCGTGTCAGCTTCGACCCGCCGGGGGTTCGATTCCCCCTTAATGCATGATCCGAACGTCAATCGTTTCATTTTTCAACCGTGAAGCTATGGTTCACGAAAAAGACCACAAATACGCTACGCCCTCTCCTTTCAAATTTTCCCCTCGGATCAACTCAACGTTCGGTTACACACTTTATAACCCTTCTCTGCCAATAACTTGACTGGGTCAAATCTGAGTCCGTTGGTTGCGCCAGTGATAAGTACAATCTTTTTTTAGGACTCTGACGAAAGTCGTGTTATCTTGGACTTGGAGTTTGAAGCGACTATTTCTAGATAGAGCTGACACGGGGATATGAATTCAGAGTTGACTGTGACGCGTTGAAGGATAATTGGCTTCACGGTCAAGCACCTGGACAGGGACCCTTGTGTGTTTACTATTGGGTCCTTTAGATTTTATAGTGCAGACTGCCTAGTGTATCAAGTTTTCTAAACGTCTTCCACAACCAGACGTTACAGAGCAACGCGACGGTATACATCTCTGACGAGAGATCTTAGCTTTTATCAACATATGACAACGAGAGCTTGGTGGCTGCCCTCTTTGCCTGCCGAACGAGCCTGTGCTCCCTTCGCCTTGCGGCGATCTCCGCCAAGTTCCGACGGGTCCCCTTCACATTCACAGCATCCTTAACCATGGATTGCGTGTACGTAGATCTTGTTTTTCTGTGATTAGCCCTTCGGTTTCGGCAGCTAGCACAGGGGCATTGTGGGACGAAATAAGATTTCCCATAGTTAATGAGGATCTCTCCTCCGCTCAATATCTGTCTTGTGGCCTGGACGATGAATCCTCCAGTCTCTGAAATACGTACAAACTAACGAAAGTTCATTAAGTTAGCCATATGAAGATACCGGGTGTACAGGAATTACCTCCACATTACGACGGCAGTTGTGGTTTATAAAGCGAGTCGGGCCTGCTAGAAGATAACGGTATCTCTTCCCAGCGAAATGTTCATCTTTGCAAGAGGCAAATATCTCTGTCGTTGGTAGACAGGTCGCAAGAAGTTGTGCCTGTGAGCTCCATCAGATATTCACCTCGTTCGATATCGCGACACGCAACGACACAAAATCCACGTCCATTTTCTCCAGCTCCGGGCCGGGGTCGCTGTCGAAGCCGCACACTACGTTCCGTAATAAGCAGAGCACTGAATATGACATGAACCACCTGTAATTGATCATGATTAGGCCAATGATGATCAAAGGATGACTTACCACTGAACGAATTGCAAGCCATCGTCCGGCGGGATAGATCTGTTTGTCAAGAACTCCTGAAAACGCGTACTCGATGCAACACGAAGAGCAGCCTTGTCGGCCCGATGCACAACTTCATCTATCGGAAATCCATTGTTGTTTGGGGATAACATTTCGTTCCATGCCATCCAAATTCCTTGCTTCAGTTCTGAATCAACATCGACTGGTATCAAGGAAAAAACCTGAGGCGCGTGTCGTTTGGTGGGTGGGTACTTCAATTTTTGGTGGGTTATCGAAGTAGACATGAGATCTTCTAGGACAACAAAGGTCATCGACAGGCAAATATTGGAAGAACGGAGGACGAGGACGAGGCTCTGGGGACTGTGAAAATAAAGGTGTATATGCGGAGGGGTCCTCCTCAAGTTGTTGAAGCTCGTCGTCGTCCTTCTGGTAGGCACTACGGGTTTTCATCCTGGTGGAAACAGAGTAGGAAACTGACAGCGATCTACTTACGCGACAGAATGCAACGTGTGCACACGTGATCATTAGCAGTGATGTCACATGTGACGTGACTCAGGTGACCTAGGTCACTGTTGATCTTTGACCACGACGTGACATCGTGGTCGAAGATCTCGGATGTGCGTTCCCGACGTCTGCCCGCGTACAGCTCTACTTGTCATGGTCACGCTCTGCCAGTACAAGGTATCCTGTAAGAGAATGCTTTACTAGTATCAAGCTTATCTACGCGCATGCGAAGGGCAAACACATCTTACATCGACCCACATCGATCCTAGCAATGATCCTTCCCCGATTCGGACGCTGAAGATGAAGACTACATTGCATGCTTATTTCAACCATGTTTGTACGGCCAAATGAAAGCACGGGCCTGAAAACAAGCCTTCATCTTTGCGCAGCCTTTTCGCGTGGAAATCCCAAAGAGGATCTTTGGATATATTCCGAGATATTTCTGCCGCATATACAGCGTGCTTGTCGGCGCCAAAGCCAGGAAACCTTTCTGGTCGAATTTATTCGCCCTCAAAGCTGCACGCAAAACATTTGACCTTTTCGATAGGATCTACGAAGATGCTGGGTGTTTGGTGTGATCTTCCATGCTAAAGAGGCTGCTGTTTTGGACACAAAGGTACCGTGAACTCTTTTGGCGGTGGTATTTGAACCTAACGTTACATGTACCGCGGCCGTGTTCATGGAGGTGGCGACGTAACCCGAATTCATTTTGTACTTGTTAGCTCGTATTTTTATTACCATAGACCCATTGTCAGCTTTAGGGCCTAGGGTGTAATGCTCAACTTCCGAGTCGGACGAAGCATCGATTGAGATTGAAGGTAGATTGTCGCAGAGAGTAAGTGCCGTTGGTTAAGGTCGTAAACCCGACGGGTCGGAAGACTTTTAGACAATTTGGAGTTTGGGAAAAGCAATTCCGAGACTCGAATTGGCGACGGATAGGTGTCACGGTCAACCATTTGATCAAGGACCCTTGGGCGTTTACGTAGATTTCATAGTACTAGAGCAGATTGGGGTCTCAGAACACAAACTTACCAGCGCCCTGCGTTTCGACCTGGAAGGCCCGGGCTCTTTTTCGTTGACGGTGGAGATTTTTTGTGGTACGTGCATTGTAGGAACTTGAAGTTTGATTGGGTTGTCGCGACATTATTATGCCTATGAATCGGGTCAATGACTATGAGAAAAACTTAGGAAGGGCGCAGACCGACAAGATGGCAGTAATAGAAAAGTTGCGCCATTTCAGTCTTGTGCCGTTTCGGATCATTGTTCCCAGGCCTGAAAAATGCCGAAAGCGGGAACACCTTTGATTAGCGCTCGATTCACCTTCTTTTCAACCATTGTTGTCATACAGCAACGTGCATGCTTGCATCGTCAGGGTGTGTATAAGTCTGCTTAGGGGAGACTACATTGTTATTAATTCAGATCATCTAGTATCTACATCATCCATCGTCACCCAGAACTTCAGCCTCGCATGGCCTAAAGATGGTATCGAGTTGAGATTTCTAGTGGGTATATCCGTCTTTCTCAATTTCTATTCAATGGGATATAGCTAATACGTACTGTATTGTTGCTTAGATACATGAAGATGATGGACAGATTGCTGACACCCCTACATACAAACATCAGCCTTCCCAAATGTATGGGTTTAAGATAAAAGACTTTCGATCTGGCACCTGAGGCTTGTTGCCCTTTCCCACCCAATATCTCGCCAGAATCCGAGGATCGCCTGACGCTGCCTCTAGTAGGCTGACTGAATCCACATCTACCTATGGTGTCTAGACCGCAGGTTACTCTGATCATCGACGACAACGATCTCAGCTTCATAACTAATGTTTCCATTGTCCCTGAGCCAGTCTCAAGGAATAGTGCAGACGCGTATGGAGGATTTTACGTTAACCAAAATGCGGTATCTGCGAATGCCACCATAACATTCTATGGCGAGTCCTATAGTTGATATCACATAATCGACTCATTGCGATGGTTGTTTTCAGGTACTTCAATCTCATTCTGGGGACACTCAGGAAGTTCTTCCTTGGGAGGAACTACTGTACGTATCGACAGCAGAGACACAGTGGCCATAGATCCATTCAAACCCGAGTTTGAAAGCTCTGAGTGGTACCATTCTCCGTTGCTCTCAGATGAAGAGCACATCATCGAATGCATGGAGTTTGATTCAGGCTTTGATTTTCTTCTTGTCGCGGCAGGTAATAGTACACCTGTGTCTGAGAGGACTATACTCGTCGATGATTCCGTCATAGAAGAGATCTGGTATGATGGCCAATGGTTACAGGAAGAAAATCAGACGTATGAAAGATACAACACAGTCCACCTGGTAGCCGAACCGATCAATAAAACTACTCATCTCAGTACACATCCCGGAGACTTCTTTGAGTTCCGTTTCGCAGGTGTGTTGGGAGCTACATCGACTTCGCTCGTGTTGATATCCCTTAGGATCCTCCATTTCCGTCTACGGAATCCTGAATGTCAACATCACCGGAAGCTTCACTTTGGACTTCACCTTGGATGGCAGTAAAAGACGGAGTATCTACCCTCAAGAGGGTAGGCAAACATCGGACTCTGTTGCCACACGGAACAACTTTCAATTATTCACAAACACGACACTCGGCAACGGAAATCATACTCTTCGTGTGGATGTAATCGCAGTGGAAGGCCCACAGCGCTTTGAATTGGATTATATCACTTACACGCCGTCGTTTAATTTCATTGGGCAGAAGCCGGTGTTCGAAAGGCCCGCGACACCGACTGCACTAAGCGACCCTTCATCTACGGCGCGACCATCCGAGTCCGCGTTGCCACCTATCCTTCCTTCCACAACGCGACATGTTCCTATTGGAGCCATTGTCGGAGCAACTATTGGTGGATTAATACTCCTTCTGGCTGTAGTCATTCTCCTGTTCCTGCGAAGAAAGCGAAGGAGAAGAAATCTGCCAGGTGCGCGGCGCAACTGTGATAAATGTAGTTCCGAAAGTCTAACATCCCGATAGAAAGCGCTAATGTCATTAGACCTTATCTATCAACTTCATTCACAGCCTACCCAAAACCAGAATTGATATCAACTTCGCCCAAGCACGGAAAGGAGTCGGTACAATCAACGCCAACAACCTCGGGCCGAGTTCGACATGGGACAGAGGAAATCTCTACACTACCAAATGATCCAACCCCTTCGCGAATGGGGGAACTGTATGATAGGATAAACATGCTCACCAGAGAGAATCAGAGACTAGTGCGGGACTACGTACTTCCACCGCAGTACAATGAAGGTCCAAATACGTTGGGAC